CAAATGGTATTCAAATAATGTCTGGAAATAAAACGAACACAGGAAACCCTGCTTCTAGTACTGGCTCTGATATTCTCTGGCCATGTGGCACTGGCTTATGAGAGGGGTGAACTAAATCAGTGCGTCCCAAACACAGGTCCAAGGACCCATGCCAGGCTAACTGCACAGCATCATGGGGAGTTTAAGGAAAAAGAAGAAAAGAAAAAGGTAATTGGGACCCACCCACTCTCCCCCAAAAAAGATCATAAAGTCAAAGTAATGCCAGGTTATCTATTTTTAAAACATCTCAGGTGAACCTACATCTGTACTGTAATGAGGCAGTCTCCAAGAGAAATATGACTAGAAACTTCAAAGGAGTTCATCATTCATTTCATTAATTTCACCTAGGGCAAAACATGCAATTAACACACCAGGTGAAATGTGGAAGACTTTACTGATCTTGGTTTAAAAAAGAATTTTTTTTAAGGCAGTCTGGGCCAATTGGGGAAATCTGAATACAGGTCAGACACTAGAGGGTATAACAGAATTATTTTCTTGAATGTGATAATGGTAGAATTGTGGTTATATAAAGAGATGGCCCTATTTTCAGGAGGCACATGCTCACATGTCTAGGGGTGCTGTTGATGTCAATTAGCATACTATCAAATGGCTATGTGAAGGAAAAAAAAGATAAAGCAAATATGGCAAAATGTGAAAATGTTGAATCTACTGTTCAGCTTTTCTGTATGTTTAAAATTTTTTTGGAACAAGAAATTGATAAAAAAAACAGAAAGGCATACTCTCCTGAATTGCCACCTAATGCTGATGATAACTGCTACATAATTCAAGACCTGATCCCGCCATGGCAAAATTTAACTCACTCTCCCAAGACCATCTTTATCTAGGCTCCCCTGCAGGAGCCCTGCTTAGGCATCTTTGCATTCTCTAGGACTGCTCAATAAACGCCCTTCTCCCCAGTTCAGAGAACCTAGTTTCAGGGCCCCAGCTTTCACCCCACACAGGTAGAAGAAAACCCTCCTGGTAAGTAGAACTGGGAGCAAAGGCATTAAAATGAGGTCAGAAAAGGCCTATCGTAACAATACTTCTAATGCACTCAAAGGAAGTGGACACCCTGAAGTACTAATTACCATCTTCCAGCACAAGCCACTAGAGAGAGAGCTAAGAGTATGCTTTGGAGTTAGCACTGGCCTGCACCCACTCCTACACTCAGCCTCTTGCCAGCTGTGCCTACTTGGCCAGGTTCATTTAACCACTCTACACTTCAGGGAATAGTTGCTATGTGCCAGGTGCTGTTTGAGCTTTAAACCTCCGTAGGCTATGGTTTTCTGGTATGTAAACTGGGCTGATGACAGCATATCCTTCAGAAAGTGAGAGCTAATAAGCGCAGCAGTGTCCAGCACATGTGATTACTCAATACCATCAACCACTGCCTACCAAAATACGGTCGACATACATCTGACTGTCTTGTGGAGTGCACTCTGCTCCTGGAAGTGTTGCTAGTATACTCTTTGGTCCAGAAAAACGATTACTATTTCTGGGTGAAGATGGCAGACGGCACAAAGTACCTCATTTTGCTCCCTCTTTTAAGTTCACTAAAACTGCAATAAAAGTTTTTAAAAAGTCATAAATTCCTAATGATAGGGAAAACAGAAGAGTCAACAGCAATAAAATTTTGAAAGCTGAGAAGCAGATAGGCTTCTCTGACAGCACACCCAAGGAAGCTGAATCCCCAAGCCAGCAGCAGGGAAAGCTGAGAATCAACCCAGTTAAGGCTTGGAGGAAGCAACTGGAAAAGTCAGAGCCCCAGAACTTCTCCTTTTTCTCTTCATGGTGCTGTCAAATGGTTCTTCCACATACTGGCAAAAGTCTGAGGTTCTTTCCCCCTATTTCTTGTGTTCTGGATTGGGGGACACCAGGCATAATGGAAGATGTAGGTATCACACTGGAAACTGGACAGAAGGGACTGCTGCTCCTCTGCTTTGGCTGGGAAACTGGTAGCCAGATCCTCTCATTCCAGATAGGAAGCTAGAAAACTATGCAGGGAAAGAAAACTTACAACAAAATCATTATAACTTCAGAGATAAGAGAACATACTGCATCTATTAGACAAGAATAGGATGTTCCCCTCAGAAACATTCAAACCAAAACAAGAGCCATAGAAAATTAAATATATGACCTTGGAATTTTTTTCTAAAAGGGTTGGGAAATAAAAGAAAATCTAGCAGTAGATAGATAGATGGAAAACAGATAAGACAATTAAAAGACATTTGAAAAGTTCACATGTAAAAAAGTTCACAAGTGTTTCAGAAGGGAGACTACACAGAGCACAGAAGGGAGAAAATAAAGTATTTCACAAAATTTCCCCAGAGTATAAGTCATTTTTCTGGACTTAACGTGCCCATTAAATGCTCAACCTAATGGATAAAAACAGATCCACAATATGACACATCATTTTAAATTTCAAAACACTGGGATCAATGTGTAGATTCTATAAGTCTGCAAAGAGAAGAAAAAACTTTGTTTTTAACACTATTCATTCAAAATCATTTTTAATACTATTCATTCAAAACCAGGTACAGTATTTAGGTTGGGTATATGCATAAATGTTAATGTATATATGTATAAATATATATTTATGTGTATGTATGTATGTGTAAAGCTTATTTTAAAAAGCAAAAGAAAGATTAATGAAAAAAATCAGGATAGAGGCTACCTCTGGAAATGCAAATGTTTTGTTTCTTAATCTGGTGGTGGACACAGGGATCATTAAAATCATTTTTTATATATCTTATATACATATGAGAATCACTGCAATCATGTTCTTTGCATATATTACATAGATGAAGAGTATGTGTATGAAGAATGCTATATATGTGAAAATATGTATTCTACACACTATTTTTGTATCTGAGATACTTTTTGCAATAAAAGAAACTTACTTAAAAAGAGAACAAGAATTTCTGTTACTACTGAATATTCAAGGGGATTACCACAAGGATGGTATGTACACAAAATAAGTCTGCTCACATTTTCTCTTCATAAAGGCCCTCTGTATTTATTCCTGCCAAGCCACTCAGGTGAGGCATATGATCTTAAAGTCAACACCACTAAGTGGTAACAAGGTTAATAAATTTGTCATTATTTAACCTGGTCCTCGAAATTTTGACCCAATCTCTAAATATAAAAGGACACACAGATCGTAAGAAATGCATTTAAGCCAAATAGATTTAGCAAGTGCCTTTAAATTGTAGAATCTTTTAAGTTATAAAAAAGTTTCTTGGTGAAAAAAAGCACTAAAATTATACTGGTGTAAAATAATCTGTTCAAGTTATCTACCTGAAACCTTCCCTACAATGACAAAAGAGTTTTCATGCCACAAGGCTTTAAATGGCTAAAGTCCAGAAACAACAAAAATGTCCACCAGTACAGTCCAGATAAACTATATTAGAGTACATCTAAAGAATGGCATACTATGCAGCACTTTAAAAATGAGGTAGGTCTACACGTACTGATACGGAAATGTTTCCTGATATTACTAAAAGTCAGTTGCCCAACAGTTACTGTACAGTACCCTCCTAGGGAATGGAATTGAGGATATAAGGATGAAAAGTAAAGAAACAAGGAATTTTTTTTACTTGATATACTTCCGAGGTGTTTTTTTTTTTTTGGTATCATTAATCTACAATTACATGAGCAACATATGGTTATTAGACCCCCCATGATCAAGTCCCCATTCTGAGCTGTTTTTTTACTTGATATTCTTCTTTAATGTTAAAAAAAAATTTTTACGACCTGAATATATTAGTCATCATTTAAAAGGAGCAAATACAGATAAAATAAGAAAATAAATTCTTTATCTTGGGCTCCATTAGTGAATTCAGAAAAATCCAGCCAGTTAAGGCTGTTGCAATCCTAGTGCGAAGAGGATGGAGGTGGGGAGGGCGTGTCTCCGGAAGAGGAAAACTACATTCTCCTACTGCTCTCATTAAACCTGCTTTTCCTGTGGCTTTAATCAATATTCAAGATAACTTTACTTCCAATTTTAGAACGAATAGTCTTGCAACACTATTATCGGTAAAAATGTTTAACGTTTACTCTACGTCTGAAACTTAAGCCGATTTAAGAGAAGGGAAGACAAGAGAAGATGACGGAAAAGTGCGACAAGCCTGGGAGTAAGAGTCTCGAATTGCTAAGAAAGGGGATTTACGATACACGTAGGTGAAGAGTTCTGAGAAGAGGTGGGATACTCTGAAAAGAGAAAGTTACGTCTTTGAGAGGCACATGTAATGTGATGGTGATCACAGTGTCTTCAGTCGGAGGCTTGAACCCCTCCAGCACACTCGCACACGACTCCAGCAGCGGGGAGGGAGCGTGCATAGCCGAGCGCATAGCTGCTTTGGCTCTTCAAAGGTCATATATATTTACGTCTCAGATTAAGCACCTTCCAGTGAATTAACTCAGAAGCCACTTTATTAGTTAAAAACAAAAATGCTCTTCCCCAGCACACCTACCATTGCTACAATGGCAAGTCTCTGTTGCTACTTATCTAGGACACTCAACACTGATAAATTTCCAAAAGGATGTTGACCCTCTTTCATTGCCTCTTCCCACCTCTTCACTTGACTCGTAGAGACGGCGTCGGAAACTCCAGAGAACACTGGCACTGTCTCCAGCAAGGAGTCAGAGCAAACGGGAGTCGCCCCCAGACTCCCCGAGCGGGCGGTGCTCTCTGCTCCGCCCGGCACCCTGGGAAGCTGACAGGTTTAAGGTGGAAACCATTCCAGACCTCCCCGAGCAGCAGTCCGACGGCGGGTCGCCGTGCAGGTCACTGCGCGCCACCGGTGGCCGGAGGGGACGCGGGCTGGGCCGGGGGGCGGCGGAAGCCCTGCCCGCCGCTGCCTGGCAGGCCCCGCCGCCGCACAGCGCAGGCTGGGCGGGGGGAGCTTCCCCGCTAGCGGACCCGGGGCACGAGCCCCCCGCGCGCCGCTGACCGCACTCACCTGGCTTCCCCGACTCCCGCACCGACCCCAAACGCGCGAGCAGAGAAGGCGACGGCGCCGCGCCCCGGCGGGCGTCCTCTGCTCCACCTCAGCCCCGGCAGCCGGGAGCGGCGGGCGGGAGCGTGGGCGCCTGCGGGGCGGGGCGGGGCACCGTGCGCACAGCAGCAGCCAATCGGCGCAGAGCAAGTGGCCGGTCAGGGGCGGGGAGAGGGTCCGGGGCGGGGCAAGGGCTCTTTGGGGCGGGGCAAGGGCGCTGCTGCTTTGCGGGCCTCTAGCGGTTGGCTCACCCGGCGCCTCAGGATCCGCGGTCACGTAGTCCTTGGCCCCTTCTGTCGCCTTCAGGGCGGTGGTCGCAGCCTGACTCCCAGCCGTGAGTTTCTGCTAGCGGACTTCAAGTGCATCATCTGTGAGACCACGTGCGGTGCGGAGCTCAAGACCAAGAGGGCAGGGGCTCTTCGCCTATGGGTCCTGAGGCATTGGCCGCCAACTGCCCAGGGAAGAGCAAGTGCCCCAGAAGGGGTCTCAGGAACTGGAGGACTGTAGAGATGCCCGTTACTAATCCCCGCCACTCAGAAACGGAGGCCTAGAAAGGTGAAGTTACTCGTCTGAGGCTACCAACTACTACTGTACTACCCAAGGTGACCAGTACAACAGCTCTTCTGATTCTGCCCTGGTGCTTTTTCTGACCGTCCGCCCAGATTTTTGGTTTTCTTATAGTCAGGTCTCTTCCTACTGTCCCCTTTAAAGACATTGCATCTTGATTTTTCAGTATAACTTAAACAGCCTTTGAAAGCCCCACCTAAATTTCCTACACGTCTGGTTGCCTTAACCTTAAAAGTAAGTCATTTTACCAGTAAAAATAGGTTTATTAGAGAATAGCAGAAAATTGCAATTCGGGACATGCAAGCTACAGCAAAACCACAAGCAAGTTCCACAAATATAGGAGAGGACCATTATTTTACGGAGAAGAAGGAGGAAGTTGGGAGGGGTTGTTTTGAACTAGAGTCCATTGGACAAAAGCAAGGGTTTATGGTGATGACAGTTCCTCATTGGCTGAGTTGCAGGGGTGGTCAATTTTTTATCGGAGACTCAATGCACATCTTTCCCTGTTGGGGCCTGTAATTGAAGATTCTTTTGTAGGTGTCTGTAACTGATAAGCCTTCCAGTAATTGAGGTGGAGGTGGTGAGGCTCCCCCTTCTAGGTGCCCAACTCTACTAAGGTTTCCCTATATTAATTTTCACATTTGTTTGAGGAAAGGCACTGTATAAGTCCAGGTATCATCGATGGGACTCTAAAAAGTATTGTACCCGGGTATAATGAAATAAGAGGTTTTGCATCCCACCTTATAAAAAAATGCCATTCTCCTTTTTTTTTTGATATTTGTTAATGTATTGAATGAAGATTTATTTTATTTTTTAACAATTTTTTATTAAGGTATTATTGATATACACTGTTATGAAGGTTTCACATGAAAAACAATGTGGTTACTACATTCACCCATATTATCAAGTCCCCCCACATACCCCATTAAAAAATGTCATTCTCTTATACTCCCATTACTCTTACAAATCTTACACGTACTTGTTATTATCCTACTATCCCTCAGTTCTCATTTGCATGGATATTATTTTTCTATTTTTCACATTGTCACCTGGCAAGTAATACATTTATAGTTATATTATCTATTAGTGTGATACATGTGCTAAGATCTAAGTGCTAGATAAATATTTGCTGCATAAGTTACTTAAAACTAGTGCAATTGCTGACTTCTAAAAGTTGACTTCAAAATAAAATTTTAAATCTTCATTTTTGATTGTTGTATTAGGATTAGGTTTGGCTTCAAGTAGCAGGGGGAAACAGTGACAAAATAACAATGGCTTGAACAAAAATTGGTGTTTCCCTCTTATGTTAAGAAGTCCAAAGTTAGTCTAGAGCTAATCTGGTACTTCATGGAGACAGATCCAGCCACCTTGTTCCAGCCAGGAGAGTCACACATATTTATTTATGCTTTCCAATACATGGGCATTTGGAAGATACCAGGTTCCATTCCCAATATCACCTAAAAGAGCTGCTATAGCTCTAGCCATTATGCCTACATTCCAACCAGCAGACGAGAGAAGACAAAGAAAGGAATATCCCCTCTCTTTAAGAACCTTTCTCAAAGGTCACATATAGCATTTCTGCTTTCATTCTTATGGCAAAAATTTAGTTATTTAGCTGCACTAAATTGCAAGGAAGGCTGGTAAATAGGATTTGGGTACTGAGGAAGAAAGGAAAAGTGGATTATTAGGGGACAAGCAGGAGTTTCTACGATAGTCTTAAATGTCATCACTTTTTTAAGTATTAATTTTAAGATTCCCCAAGATTTTTTAAAGCTTTTATACAGAATATCTCTAAGAAAATGCTTACTTCCATGTGTGAAGGAAGATATTACCATTGACCTGCAGGTTGGATGCACATGCTTTGAGTTGCTTTTCCAGAGGTGAGTGGGCATGTCCACTATTGCAGCTTGCTTCTCTCTCATTATAAACCTTTCCTTTACAAAGAGAGTCAAGCATATATATATAGCTATGCGTTCAAAAATATGGACATTTGAAAGATATTGGGATTGAGTTGCTGATGTCAACATTTCAATGTCAGCATTTCCAATATACTAATTTGAGTCTTCCATAAAATTGCAAATCAGCTTTAAAAAAATTCTACACATGCCCTGATTCAATTGGTATTTTATCATGTATGATAAATACATATGTTTTCTTCAATTTCTATTATTTGAAAATCTTGGAGTCACTTCTAGATTCTGGAGTTGACTTCAGGACCATTTTCAGGTTTGGGCCAAGAAAAGTTCTAACACACCTTCTTCACCTAACACTGGACAGGATGAATCCAGTCCAGTTGGTCCAAGCCTAGTAAGAGAAAGGAACAATCCAGGCTGTCCCACAGGTTCTGGTTTGTTTTTCCTTTCTCAAGGCTGCTTCATGATCTTAATCTAATGGAAAACTCACTTCCCATCTCTTGAGAATACACTCCAAATGTTTACTGCAGAAACTAGCTGAAAGACTAAAGCATGTAAATGCACATTTCTGAAAATATTGTCTCTCTTCCTCTATGAACTTATGGGATTGTGTAACCAAAAGACTTCCTTTGAGTAACTCAGTTAGAACTGTTGTATTTGAATAAAGGTGTCTTGAGACTAAAATCATATTCCTGTGGATCTGAAAGGACCCTCACATGAAAGGATAGATATTCAGTGTCAGTTATTTGGGGGAAAAACTGGTCTTTACGTAGGAAATGATATCAAAGCTTAGAAGATCATCTGTCAAGCAGAAGAGGAAACATTTCTTTGTAGTCTACACCCTGATGACAGTAGATACGTTACCAGTTGGTTTCTTTCAGTTATAAGTAACAGGAAAAACAATCTCAAACTGGTTTTCTTGAATAGTAAAAGAAAACCTAGTTTTAAAACAGAAAAGGGGAATATAACCTCAGTCGAAGTAGAGATAACACATATGGAGAAAATGAGAAGTATGATACCCTCACAAATGAGTCAAGCTTTTTTTATAAATGTCATGTTAAAATAATCCTCTATGTTATGATACAGGAAAAGGTAGTGGTGATGAAATATCACAAGTACTCTATGTCAAGGATAAATCTGACACCACTGTCGAAAGACTGATACAGAGACAAATTCTTCGACGGGTAACAGGGAACAAAGGCTGGCTCAGAAAAGATACAGTCGTAGAGTAGTACAAGAAGCCTCTGGGAACAGCCTAAACAGAAACCCAATAGATGACCCCCAAATTAATAAATCATTTCAGTATGTAAATTTTACAATACAGATTTGCTTTAATTATATTAGAAGGGTAGCACCTATGAAATATTTTAAAACAGTGCTTATGGATGAAATTAATGAGATTACTGAGTTCATGTATATCTACTGTATTATTATCTATTGCTATGTAGCAAATTATCCCAAGACTTAGCAACCTAAAACATCAAGCATTTACTTATTATCTTGCACAGTTTCTGAGGATCAGGAATCTGGCAGCAGCTCAGCTGAGTTGTTCTGACTCAGGATTCCTCATGAGCTTGTCATTAAACTGTCAGCCAGGGCTGCAGACATCTGCAATGTTGACCAAGTTCTGCTTCCAGTGAGGCTCACTCCTATGACTGTTGGCTGGAGTCCACAGTTGCTGGGCACATGGGCTTCTCCACAAGGCTGCCTCATGACAGGGCACTGGCTTCACCCAGAGTGAGTGATCCTAGAGAGAGAGAGAGAGAGAGAGAGAGAGAGAGAGAGAGAGAGAGAGAGAGAGTAGGAAGCTTCTAGCCTCAGAAACAACATGACATCATTTCTGCTATATTCTATTGGTCAACAGACCAACTCTGACACAGTGTGGAAAGGCATTCCAGAAAAATGTGAATATGAGAAAGTGGGGGTCTTTGAGGGTCATCCTAGGCCCTGGCTGTGACATTCACTAATTTAGTAAGATCTGGTTCTAAATTAAAAGAGATTTCCAATCTCCTCCAGTACCTATTTGCATTCAAAACTACAAATGCAAACTGCAGTAGGCATGTAGTAGTGGTAATTCAAATGCCATAAGCCATGGTGCCATCAGTGATGTTTTTATGAAATGGGGTACAATTCTCAGTAAAATTTTCAAGAAAATAAAGTACAGTTTTCATAGGTAGTTGCATTTGTGGGGAAAAGAATTAGTGTATTCAAAATCATACAAAATGTATATTGTGTTTCCGTGTAACATATAATTCTGTTCTATGTGTAGATGATTATTGGCAGATTTTTCACCCACGTGAATATCTAGTGAGATGTTTGAATGTTGGGCAAGACATGAAACAATTCCTCTTTTTGGTCCACCACCCTATATATTGTGAAACACTCAGCATCCCTGGCCCCGCCTCCTCAATGCCTGTGGTGAGGAGTGATGTTTGAAATATTTAACAACTAGGATTGCATGACTTACCAGAAATCAGAATAGATGCCAGTCAGAACAATGTACTGGTGCAAAAGGGCTAAATAGAAGCTCTGCCAGTAGTGCCCTCTGGGCATTTTGTCAATTGAAGATTCCCCCACAGATTTCCAGTACGTCCTCTGGGAGCAGTAACACCTCCGCTGAGGACCACTCACCACTGAGGACCTCACCCTGCACTCAGCGTTTCATGTTCACCATTTTAAGGATTACAACAATCCTGCATGATGGGTCTGATTGCACTCACCTGATAGATGGGGAAACGGGAGCTCAAGAAGGCTGCACAGCCAGTGAGTGGCAAACCATGGCTCTGAATTCAAATGTCCCTAGTTCCAAGTCCATTCCCTTTCCACCACATCATATTGCCTCTTGATCATTGGTATTAGGGGCAGTCAGGGGGACAGGGACCTCAAGGGAAAAAAGGATAAGGATGATAATCCAACTATAAAACACACTGAACATGAGACAGCCCCAGGAGCCTCGGTGTATGGAGTTTGTGAATCTTCACTCCAGAGGCTGTGGTTTGCTCCAGTTCCATTTCTGCCCACACCAATAGCACTGTGGGTGGGTACAAACAAGAGATCTGGAATCAGGCTCTCCATACACAGCTTGGGTTAAAATCTCAACTCTGCCACTGTCTAGCTGTGTGACCCCAGACAAGTTACCTCACCTGTCGTTGCCTTCACTTTCTCATCTCTCAAAAAACCTTAATGATGGTACTGATGTCACAGGATTGTTGTGAAGATTCAATCAGTTAATGCAAGGGAAGTGTTCAACAAGTGCTCTGGCTCTTGTCACCTCATATCTTACGACTCGTTATTATATTTCATTGCTGTTTCCAAAAACTTCAGCTTACAAATAATGAGAGAGAGCTTTCTGTGTTGATTTGGAAAGACTGTGAAGATACATTAATAGGCAGGTGAAGAAAAAAGCAAGAAGAGTAGGTATAGTATGTTCACATTTGTGTGATTTTAAGAGAGATGGAGGGACAGTGTATGTGTATAAATTATATATACGAATTTTTGGAAGGATATTGTGGTAACAGGATAATGGCCCCCCAAAATATCTAACCGCCAGAATCTGTAAACGGTTATGTTACATAGCAAAGGGAAATTAAGGTTGCAAATGGAATTAAGGTTGCTAATCAACTGGCTTTAAAATAGGGATATTAAGCTGGATTATTTGGGTGGGCCCAGTGTAGCCACAGGAGTCCTTAAATGTGAAAGAGGGAGGCAGGAGAATCAGAGTGATATGACGTGGGAAGGCCCCACCCTGCTGTTGCTGGCTCTGAAAATGGAGTTTGTGAATCCTCACTCCAGAGGCTGTGGTTTGCTCCAGTTCCATCTCTGCCCACACCAATAGTGTTGGATAAGAACAGAGATCTGGAATCAGACCAACCACAGACATCATGGGTTAAAATCTCAACTCCTGGCCACAAGCCGAGGAATACAGGTAGCCTCTAGAAGCTAGACAAGACAAGGAACTAGATTGCTCCCTAAGCCTCTCGGAGGCATGAAGCCCACCAGCACTAGCAGATCCACTTTGGACTTCTAGCCTCCAGAACTGTAAGATAATAAACTTGTGTTGTTTAAGCCACTAAGTTTGTAGTCACAGCAACAATAGAAAACTAATGCATATATTCCAGAAATTGTTGATGGTGACTAGACCTGGGAAGTAGGCTCAGGAGGTCGGATCTGGGGGGTCTGGGGTAAAAGGCAACTCACTTGTGCAACTCACAGTGCAACTCCTTTTGCACTGATAGAGTCATACTCTGTACACGTGAATTTTCCAAATGAATTTTTTTTCCAAAATAAAGAACTTTACCTTGTTGTACCATGTAACACTTCACCAGCCAGTTGATATATTCACTGCACTTGGGCCAATGGCTTTGGCCCCTGTGGAGCTGTCGGCAGGCAGGCACCATAATGATAAGTTTACAAGCATCTCCCAAACCTTTCACGATATTCAAGTCCACCAGAGTGGGACCCAACGGCATGCACAGGCTCTCTCTCTCTCTCTCTCTCTCTCTCTCTCTCTCTCTCTAAGAGATCTGGAATCAGGCTCTCCATACACAGCTTGGGTTAAAATCTCAACTCTGCCACTGTCTAGCTGTGTGACCCCAGACAAGTTACCTCACCTGTCGTTGCCTTCACTTTCTCATCTCTCAAAAAACCTTAATGATGGTACCGATGTCACAGGATTGTTGTGAAGATTCAATCAGTTAATGCAAGGGAAGTGTTCAACAAGTGCTCTGGCTCTTGTCACCTCATATCTTACGACTCGTTATTATATTTCATTGCTGTTTCCAAAAACTTCAGCTTACAAATAATGAGAGAGAGCTTTCTGTGTTGATTTGGAAAGACTGTGAAGATACATTAATAGGCAGGTGAAGAAAAAAGCAAGAAGAGTAGGTATAGTATGTTCACATTTGTGTGATTTTAAGAGAGATGGAGGGACAGTGTATGTGTATAAATTATATATACGAATTTTTGGAAGGATATTGTGGTAACAGGATAATGGCCCCCCAAAATATCTAACCGCCAGAATCTGTAAACGGTTATGTTACATAGCAAAGGGAAATTAAGGTTGCAAATGGAATTAAGGTTGCTAATCAACTGGCTTTAAAATAGGGATATTAAGCTGGATTATTTGGGTGGGCCCAGTGTAGCCACAGGAGTCCTTAAATGTGAAAGAGGGAGGCAGGAGAATCAGAGTGATATGACGTGGGAAGGCCCCACCCTGCTGTTGCTGGCTCTGAAAATGGAGTTTGTGAATCCTCACTCCAGAGGCTGTGGTTTGCTCCAGTTCCATCTCTGCCCACACCAATAGTGTTGGATAAGAACAGAGATCTGGAATCAGACCAACCACAGACATCATGGGTTAAAATCTCAACTCCTGGCCACAAGCCGAGGAATACAGGTAGCCTCTAGAAGCTAGACAAGACAAGGAACTAGATTGCTCCCTAAGCCTCTCGGAGGCATGAAGCCCACCAGCACTAGCAGATCCACTTTGGACTTCTAGCCTCCAGAACTGTAAGATAATAAACTTGTGTTGTTTAAGCCACTAAGTTTGTAGTCACAGCAACAATAGAAAACTAATGCATATATTCCAGAAATTGTTGATGGTGACTAGACCTGGGAAGTAGGCTCAGGAGGTCGGATCTGGGGGGTCTGGGGTAAAAGGCAACTCACTTGTGCAACTCACAGTGCAACTCCTTTTGCACTGATAGAGTCATACTCTGTACACGTGAATTTTCCAAATGAATTTTTTTTCCAAAATAAAGAACTTTACCTTGTTGTACCATGTAACACTTCACCAGCCAGTTGATATATTCACTGCACTTGGGCCAATGGCTTTGGCCCCTGTGGAGCTGTCGGCAGGCAGGCACCATAATGATAAGTTTACAAGCATCTCCCAAACCTTTCACGATATTCAAGTCCACCAGAGTGGGACCCAACGGCATGCACAGGCTCTCTCTCTCTCTCTCTCTCTCTCTCTCTCTCTCTCTCTCTCTCTCTCTCTCTCTTCCTCTCTCTCTCTGTCTCTCTCTTTTTGTATATGTAATTAAAAACCATTTTCTCTCAGTTTTTTTTTAACAAGATATGCGTTTGTTTTATCCCATCTTTCTCAACTTTGTGGATTCTTGTTTATGTAAGTCACCACTCAGTTTGGTAAGAAAAGCTATTTGTTGTAAGAAAGACACAGAAGCAAATGCCTGGGATACTGCCAAAGTTCTGTAGGGTTTTTGCAGAAATGTGTACATCAAAATTAGCTTTTGCTATGATGTAAAAGCATCTAAATTTAAATTACTGAAACATTGGCAGTCGTTTTTATGCTTAACACAATTTAAAGCAGTTCTCTTATTTCTTATGCTTCTGGATGCATTTCTTGCCTATAGAAAAATAGCAAGCAACCTACCAAACTCGGAAACATTCTCATTTTCTTTTACCTTTTTTAAAAGAAAAACCCAGCTTTCACATACCATAAAATTCAGTCTCAAAGTATAGGATACCCAAGGTGATTCCTCTCCAAGGGGCTTACTAGTGCCCCTCTTCAGGTAAGTAGCAACTTGGAATGAAATCTGGCATGCCACAGGTTTTAGGGGGAGAGGGGATATTTATTTCCTTTGCCTCCCTTGGCTGCCTAAATGGGATACTTAACTCCCTTCTGGAGAGATTATGCTTTCTTCTCATTGACATACTGAAGTTGCCATCTTTCCTGACAGAGGCCAGAGGCACTGATGTGCCACAGGTTTCTTTAGTCATTAAGTGTGACCTTCCCACCAACAGTGAAACTACATACACAGAACTGGTCATGGTGGATGATTTGGCTGTAAGGGTGTGGCTATTAACATGGTGACAGAAGAAGACAAGAGAATTCTTTGAGACATCAAGACCTTCCACAACACCTCCATTGAGGAGATTCTGACCCCCCTAACAGGGGTGGTCTTGCTACCTAGCCCCAGCCAGGGTTTAATCCTTGTGGGGCTGAAGAGAAATAGCAGGAAAGGGAAGGCAGCCATGGGATAGACATCTGTCATTTTTTTGTTTCTTTTTCTCTGAATAAATGTCATTTCCTAAGACAAAAAGGGAAAAAAAGTGTGTTCAGTATGTTCACAGAATTGTGCAACCATTACAACAATCAATTTTAGAAAATTTTTATCACCCCACCCCAAAAAGACACCCATAACCATTAGCAGTGACTCCTCATTTTCTACCAAAGTCTACAGCCCTAGGCAACCGCTAATTTCCTCTCTGTCTATATGGATTCGCCTATTCCCGACTCTTCATATAAATGGAATCATACAATGCACAATTTTTCCTGACTGGCTTTATCTTCATTTTCCTTTAAAGCCCCCAGCTTGCTGAAGGCATACAGAGAATTCAGGAAATTGACTGAAACTGGCAAGGTCAACTTTGACATCAATACTCTTCAAAGAGAAGAACTATGGAAATTTTGTTTAGCAAATCTTAAAAATAACAAGAACTTCTATTTATTATTTTATTAGCACAACAGCATACATAATTTAATACTTAGAATGGAGCATTCATTACGTGTGGATTCTTTCCATATTATGTGTCATTGAATCCTCACACACTAGCTGATCATTACTATTTACACCTGAGAAATCTGTAGGTCAGTTAGGTTTGGTAAATTGCTCACACACCTATACATTGGCAGAGCTGTGAGTTTAACCCCAGTCCATGTGCCCTGTGCATACAATCCAGTGCGCAGTTCCTGTTTACCCCAAAGCCATGAGAGTCCCATGATCTCATCTGTATCAGTCAGTTCTTAGTTGCACAGGGCCATCCCCACTCTGTAGCTAGATTAAGCAGCAAAGGGACTTCTTAAAGGACACTGGACCTTTTGGATGGGCTGGAGAAAGTGGCTCAAGGTAGTTCCCAGGAGCAATGCCTCAGACCACACTAAAGAATTGGCCTGGTGAGAAAAACACCGGTTGCTGTGGCCACCACCGAGCACTACGAGTCAGGAGCTTGACTGCCACTGGCAAGGATACCCACTCCAGTTCTGTAACAGGAGTTCCACCTGGCAGCCGCTGCCTTCCTGCACTAGTGAAGTGGAACTTGTACAATGAGCCAACACATTTCCTCCCAGGCCTCATTCTGAACCCCTGTCTCCCAAGGAGAAGTCTTATTGGTGGAAGTTAGGTCATGTGACCATTTCTGAGCACATTTAAGAAAATTAGGCATTTTCTCTCTTGACAAGACCAATGTTGAAGGTCTGACTTCCTGAGCTAGGAACCACATCTTCCCAGATGAATGACACATGCCACCATCAATATGGGCCATTTGGGAGATGACAGGCAGCCAAAAATACAAGGGCGGTCCACTACCTCAGTTAAGCAAAGCTCACTGAGAATCGTGGGACTCAACTGGGTAAATCATGGTGTAAACTGTGGCCGAATGGGAAGGTTGAGAGGACAAGACCTCAGAACCAGGTTCACCCACAAACCTGAAACCACAGAACACAGAAGCTCATCTATAAATGCCAAGGCTGGGTCGCCACTGGACCATATGCTCCTTGCAAGAAGGTCCTCAAGGTGCACCAGGAAGGCCCTTTGCTCCACAGCTGTGACCAGGTCCCTCTTGCAACCATGTCCAGTTTATTGGGGTATAGTCTGATGTATTTGCTCTGTTGTGATCTTCAGTCAGAGTCAGTGAGTTTGGGGAATAGCACATACATCTATCATCTAGGAAAGATGTGGGTCCTTGAGGAAGCAGCCAGGTATTTGAAATTGGTCTTGGCAGGAAAGAAAATCCCTTAGGCAGTACTTTCCCAGGTCTAGATTTGGGGAGTGGAAGCATGCTTAGAACAATTTAGGGGTCTCCCAGATGTGAGAGAATGCTGAACTCTGCCACACCTCAGCAGGCTGGGGACTGGGCTCAGAGACAAACTGGAGGACCACAGGCCAGTTGATTTCATCCAAGGAGCTGTCTTCCCTTCCTTTGTGTCATCCCCGAGCCTTGAGGAAAGTTGCATTTTGATATTCCAGTCTGGTCTCAGCCAGACAACGGGTGTTGCATTTGTGGGTCTGCCCTTAGGCCAGAGGAGAGGGGGCCCAGTGTCCTCTGCCTGGAGCCAGGGTGGTGGTGGCAGTAATACCAAGCAAAGTGAGTATCGAGCGTTGCATGTAGGGCTGAGGGTCCTTCTGCCCCCTCAACCACTGATTTCTGAGAATCCAGATGGTGGAATGGTGGATTCCCTTTCAGGACTTCAACAAACATAGGTTGGAGGAACAGAACATTGTTGAAGAGGAAAGGCAGTACTTCTAGGAAAACTGACCAGCAAGTCATGCCTGAGACATGTTAGGACATGTTGGGAATGTCCCACAAGAGGGCTGGGATCCAGTGATGGGGACCCAGGCAGTTGGTAGCAGGGAAGTATGCTAAGAAGCAACAGTCCCAGACATAGAGACAGGGTTACAGGGGGCTCCTATCTCTGGGAGGGGCACCCAAAAAGCAGGGCTAGGTCCTGGGGGCACAAGGAAGAAAATGAACAGTAATGCAGTCATTCTATCAAGGACCTTAAAACCAGTTTTGAGGTACCAAACTATTGAGGCTGAGCCTCAGGCACCTGGAACAAGGGCAAAGGCCATTTCACACTGCTGGCAGGCAAAAGCCACCTTGATTTCATGGTACTATCTTCAGGGTCTTGGTTCTCCACTTTGAAAAAAGGAGCCAGGGAAAGGCCGGGAACCAGGCAGAATTTGGTATGTGCCTGTTCATGAGTTCAGAAGTCTCAGTAAATTACCATTCCACCTGCAAAGCTGCCTTTGGGTAAAATTGCAATATTTCCAGAATCTCTCCTGGCCTTAGTACATCTCCGTATCAATAGGTGTTTCCAAGGGGTGAAGAGAAGTAGTCCAGGTCCATATCAACAAGTAATTACATGGGGGAGCAAGGGCATATCTGGACCTGAGAGCTTGGGTTTGGCCCCTTTTTCTGCAACCGGTTGTGAGAGACCTGGGCAAGCAGAAGTAGACAACTGCTTGTAAGCAATAAACGGGTTTCTCCCACTTTCTCTCTTTGATTTCGGTTCAAAGGTATTTCTCCCCCTTCTCCTGAACCACCCACCCGCCGCCAGAATTACACTGACAAAGTGAGAAGGTGAAAAGATAACAAAAAATGTCAATGCTGCATCATAAGAGAACTAAGTATCAGAGTCAAGAAACTTCACTAAACTGGCCAAAATATTTTTCCTGGCCAGGTATTTAGTTACTTAAATAAGTGAATCTGTGTTTATATAAGTGAACTTGCCTTCTTAAAAAAAATCTATGTCACGATCAGTTTTGATATGATCAGTCAAGATTTATACACTTATTTAGGTGGTCAGCCAAAAATTTGGTTATTATTATTATTTGTTTATACAACAATGAACCACTGAGTAATTATTAAAACTAACTTTATTAATATAGAACACCTGTCCTGTCTGAAATTAAGGATTTATTAGTTTTTTGTTAACTTTACCTTCTCATTATCCCATACTGAAGGTTTCGTTTATTTATGTTGCTGCAATGCAATTAGATATCACACATCTAATTCCCATTTTTATCGCAATTCACAGAATCATAGCTTTCTAAAGTGTTTTGGAACTACAGCTCTAATTAAAAAGCTGTATTTCTACTGTTCATAACTCTGTTCTACACTATCACTGTAGAAGCCAAATGATAATCAATAAAAGTCACATATTTTACCAATTAACGCCCCATCACCTAAGCAGAAAGGCTCGAAATTTCCTTTTGAAGATGTAGTATTGTTTGAACTAGTGCACACTTTACAAAAAACACTTCTTGCAAAATCAGAGTGGCAAGTGCCACAGTTATGAGCCGTATCCATAGTACAGTGCTCTCAATTAAATAACAAAAAAGATCTGCTCCTTTTGATACTCTCCATATCCTTCCAGTTGCCCAATTTTGGGACGAATGCAATTACACAAATCTAAAAAGCTATTGTTTCTGAAAGTGGATAGCACACAATAATCCCATGAATGTCAATCTTTTCATATGCCAAAGGTGCAAACTGGCACAAAATTCAGACATCTCATCTTTGTTTATTAGTGGATACCTCATACAGTAAACTGCAATTTTCATAGTTGGAAAACCCTCTGGGGAGTCTGATCCACAACACAGGCTTTAGGTAGAATTATCTAGACCTATTATTTCAATCTCTGATTAGAGATGAAGCCAAAAGTGAAATCTTAAGTTTCCATCAAATCCAAGGATTTTTTTTTTCCAACTCTGGAAGTTCAGAAAATACCCTCAAACTCTTTAAAGTGGACTCTGGAGTCTATTTCTAGAAAAGCTAAATCAACTAGCTTGGGTGATGGATATCTGCAGCCAATGATCATGAAGTTAGACAGGAAAAAATATAACACAGATAGATATGTTTTTTTTTCTAAATTCAGTATGCACCGAAAAGGCCTTCATAAGAACACAAGAGTGTAGTAACTGCAGTAGACTAATTTCCATTAGAGAGCATCCCAAAAGTTTTACAACAGTTTTGAGCTTTAATAACCTCCGATGTATAAATGCAGAAAACTAGCAAGAAACTTACATCATTTGGAGGTTATTTGCCTGCATTCCATACTTCTGTGACTTTTAATAATAACATTGAGTTTTTATTCTTGTTATTTAAGTACCTGTGTTCAAAAAAGTTGCACTAAGACTTTCAGAAAACCCTTTATGATCTCTCATCCAAGACCCCATCCTCTAACTCATTTCACCTGTGACTGACATTGAGCCTCTGAAATGGATTTTCTTAGAAGTTCTCTTCTTTTCTTGCTGTATCCTCAGAGTAGACTGGTTGAACAATTCTCTTCTCAGTTTCTTACAGCTTTCTCACACATCACTGGAGGTATGATTAGTTTTGTGAAAAAGTACAGAGGCACTCAGTTCTCAAACTCTTGTGTAATAGCAATAAATCTCAGCCTCTATGTGTGATGTCAGTACAACTAAAAATGATTTGGGGCAGTACTGTGAACACTGGTCATATTTTAATAAATTTCCACACATTCATCCAGTTATAAAAACCTGTCTTGACTCCAGGTGTTTTCTCTCCTTCTCCCTGATCAATGTTATTTGGGTTTTTATCTGTGACTTCTTTTGTTTTTACAAGGGTCTCATGTATCTCCTGGGCTTTGGCAATTTCTTTCTGTGCATCAAAATGGACTTTTTGCTTGGTCAGAAGGGGAACAATTAAATTAAAATCATTAACTCGCTTGTTTAGTTTTCTGATGTTTTCTTCAAACTGCTCACAAACTTGGTTCCACTGTTTCTGTTCAGTTGGTGTCATGGGACTCCCAAATTTCTTCCTTGACACTAAAATTGCCTCTCTGAGTTGATCAATAGTATCCTTTATTTCCTTTTGCATTAAGATCCATTCTGGTTGGTATCCATTATCTATCAATATTCTGTTCAGGTTGTGAGTCATGGGATCAATATATGAACAGCCAGAAAATTTTTTGAGAGGTTTGCCTTTCCCACTGAGGTTATCGAAGTCTCCTTTCGCCATTGATTCCTGAATGAGATCCTCCACTAAACGCTCTATTGCCTGAGTTATCTTTTGTTCTTTACTCTGTCTTACATCTTTAACGATTACACTATCAGCGAAATACTGGCTTTGTAATTTCTGCTTTTGGTATTCCATCACCTGTTCAGTTGCACGGTCTGCTCTAAATTGCCTATATTGCTTCTCTCGTTGACTTGGGGTTCCAAAACCAACACCTTCAAAACTTAAATAATGCCGGTGTTGGGGTGTTTTATACTTGAATTTTCCTTCTTCTTCTTCTTCTTCTTCAACTTTATTTGTTGGTTCAAGCACATGGGAAAGCACCCTCCTATAAGCTTCCTCAATCCTTATAAATGTTGCAGAATCAGCAGTACTAGAGCCACCATCTGGGTGGTATTGTTTGGCAAGCTTACGAAAAGATTCCCTGACATCATCTGCAGAGCATCCTTCATCCAGATTCAGCAACTGATAATATTCTCTCATCTTCTTTTTGGATTTATGAGTTGACATCATTCTATTTCTAATGACACCAAGATGTGGAAGCATTTTCATTCGATTAGGAATCACTGAAGCATTTATCCAATGTGATCTTAAGATGGAAGCCATCATCACACATACACTGTATTCATTATTGCACTCAGAGTTCTTCCTAGTGATGATCTGTAAAACAACAAGAAATATAGGGTGAAGAAAGTTGTATTATGAGCTAATTTCATATTTTCAGCAATAAGAAAGTAATTACAAGCACAATTAGGAGCAGTTCTTTCTAATGCTGCTGCCAAAATTCTTATAGCTATACTTAAATGTTAGCAGAGAAATGGTAATTGATGATGTTTAGCATGAACATACTGTTATACAATCTGGATTCTCCCCCTCACTAACCAACCACAGAAGTTTAGAGCTGGCACGTTCTTAGAGATCAACTAATTCAATCTTCTCATTTTATTGGAAAATGTAGGCCCAGAAGGTTATTCAACATAACCAAGTCACATGGCAAGGTGTAAGCAAAATGGTTAGAGTTAGGGCACAATAAGAGGCTTGCTTAACTGTTTCCCCAGCAGATTATAAACTTCATTAGCACCCCTATATCTTTAGTGTATCACTGCCTTCATAGTCTTAGTCTTCTCATGAGATGACTTACAAACATGAACAATCAGCGGACGTGACAAAGTATGTATCTAGTCTGACACTAAATTGAACGTTGCCATGCATCCAAAAGACTTTAAGCTCTATAGCTTGTTAGGAAAGGGCTGTTTGCTGCATGCCCCAAGAAGGGACGTGAGCCTTCCCAACATGTTGGCTCTTATTTATAAAACGTAGGGTACAGTAGAAAAGAAAGATTTTACATAGATAATAGCAATGAAATGCTGGAGGTTGGGTAACTGGAAGTGGGAACTTGATAATAAATGCTAAAACTGAACTCCTGGGGACCCCAATTTCCTGGACTATTGGGGTCAAGCGCTTTTACAGTTGGGTGGCATGGTGGCCGTTGAGGTGACGTAGGCCATTGCAGGGTAAGTGGGCAGTCCTGAAACTGGACACGCCCCGGCCCGCTTTGCCCCCTACTCACCTTTGCGGACGCGGGCTCCGTCAGCCGCTCCCGCCCCGTGCAGCGCCTGTGCGCATGCGTGTGGGGCCAACACCGCACTACTCGGGCGTCTCCGCGTCCGCGAGGGGCCCCGTCTCCGCAACACTAGACCGTCTACCGCTTTAGGCCGAGGGGACCTCAGAGGGGACGCCGGGCAAAACTTACCTAATAGGGGCAGGCACCTTTTCTTAGCAGGGAACCCTAGAATCTGTATTAAAAACAACTGTAGCCAATAGGACACAGGCATGACATTTCGGAAAGCTCCGTGCAGCCCCAGGGCCATCCGCTGCGCCTCCGCCCCCACGTGAAGCGGGAGTAGTTTGGTCAATTGGGGTTGTGGGAAGTGTAGTTTGCGGGAAGTGCCGTGGACTCCGGCCCGTAGTACGCCTGCGCCTTCTGGGAGGGTGTCGGGCGCGGCCCGAGTGTCCCAGTGACCCTGGTGGAGGCGTGTAGGGCTTATAGTAGTGTCGTGAGTGTGGGTTGGAACCCTTCAAATCTTTAGTGGTTCGGAGGGTGACGGGAAAGACAGGTCCATTTCCCGAACAGGACCTGAACAGCCTCCTCGGGTCTGCAGACTAGGAACCAGCTCAGAGACAAGGAAGTTCTACGTAACTCAGAAAGACCTGGCGAATCCAGGCTAGGAAACTAGACTTTCATTAGTTCATCTAGTACTTAGTGAGCAACTCGCTTAGCCTGGCGCTGAGGTAGGGGGTGAGGACAGTTCACGACAAAAACAAACTAGGAGATTCCTGGAAAAGGGAGCCCTCGTGTGCACTGTTGGTGGGAATGCAAACTGATGCAGCCACTATGGAAAACTGTGGAGATTCCTCAAAAAATTAAAACTAGAATTACCATCCCACCCAGTAATTCCACGACATGGTATTTACCCGAAGAGAACAAAATCACTAGTTTGAAAAAATGTATGTACCCCTGTTTATTGCAGGATAATTTACAATAGCCAAGATATTGGAAGTAACCTATATGTCCATCATAGATGAATGGATAGAGAAAATGTATATATGTACACAATGGAATATAACTAAGCCTTAAAAAAAAATCCTGCCATTTGCGACAATGTGGATGAACCTAGAGGGTACTGTGCTAAGTGAAATAAGACAAAGACAAGTACCGCATGACCTCACTTAAATGTGGAATTTTTAAAATAAAATGAACAAACAAAACAAACTCATAAATACAGAGAACGAACTGGTGGTCCCCGTAGCGGAGGGAAGTGGGGGGATGGATGAAAAAGGTGAAGGGGATAAAGAGGTACAAACATCCAATTATGCCATAAATTAGTCACCGGGATAAATTATGTTAGCTTTCGGAATATCTTTGTGTGGTGACATGGTAATTACACTTATCGTGGTAAGCATTTTATGGTGTATATATTGTCAAATACTATGTTGTACAAGTGAAACTAACATCGCATATCAACTATTCTTCAATAAGAGAAGAAAAATAATACTATTAACATTTAAAAAAATAAAATAAAATAGGGACTCCTGGCTTTAAGTTCCTCCGCTGTTATGGGGATGTACTATTTCCCCCGCCTGTATGGATTGGTAATTAAAAAGAGAAAACAGAAAAAGGCAGAAACTTGGGGACTCAGACCTGCTTGGATATCCTGTTTCTTCCACTTGCATTTCGCTGTGTCTGTCTGCAAAATGGAGGTACCAAAAAATGACAAGGGTGTATTCAGCACTTACTTTTGGCCAGGCTCTATGCTAAATGCTTTATACATTAGTCTCTTAATCCTTACAACAGCCCAGTGGGGTATGTGCTATTGTTTTCCCCATTGTATATATGATGAAAAATAATTGCATCAAACTCACTGAGTTTTTGTAAGAATTACAAAATGTATGTAAACCACAATGCCTGGCATGTTAAGTAATATTTTTTATTATGACTATGTTTTCTAAAAGGAGTCAGAAATAGGTACTAGCCTTTCTGAGCTATAGACAATACAATAACTTGTTACCCTCTATGTAGGTACACAGAAAAGGGCTCAAATTCTCATTCAGAGGGATTTCCTTATGAGCAAACAGTAACATAAAAGAACTATGTGAAAGAAAATAGTGTCATTACAAGCATTAACTCTTGTAGCCAACATCTCAATCACAGCATAAAAGGGGAAAAAAGCGTAAAGACAGGTAAAAAAAAAAACTACTTGTGTAGCACTTTGGATTTTTCAGAGCATTCATCACACATCTTATTTTCATGTTGGCATCTTATAAGTAATTAGGCTTTAGCCCTGAGTAGTTTAGTGACTTGGTTAAGTGACTTTGCAAGTCACTAGGACTGTAATCCATTTCTCTTTTAAGAGTGTCAGTTTTGTAATTTTGCTCTGTAAGTATAGAAGGTGAATCAAAGTCGGCTGAGTTATCCAAAAGAAAACTTTAGTTGTAAACTAGCTAATTGACTGCAGAGATTATTTTTCTCATGTATAAGAAATGTGGAGGTAGGCAGTTTCTGGTATTGGTTCAGCTACCAAGAGGTGCCATATTTGCTTTTTACCATTCTTTCTTTTTGTCCATATATATACTTTTTTTCTCAATCATTTAAAAGTATTTGCAAACATTATTTCCCTTTACCCCAAAGTCCTTCAGTATTTATTTCCCCAAGTGAGGATATTCTCTAACATCTCCATAGTACTGATATCAAATTTCAGAAAATTTAACATAGATACAGTATCATTTGATGTACAGTTTTGCATTCCAGTTTCAACAATTGTCCAAAGATGTCCTTTGGGGCAACACATAGACTTTTACATAAGCAGATCAAATGAGTGACAAACCAAAACATTCTTGTTCCGTTAGTATTGGGTAGAAAGAGTCCATCACTTAAAAATACAGTTCTTTTCCTTTTAAAAAGGTGGCTACATACTCTACAGTCAGCAGTCCTAGTGATTATAAGATTTGGTCAAAAGATCAACTTTAGAGTCAGAACCAGACACATGTGATTGACTAGCCATTTTTAATATAATCATGTTACTTTGTTTAATTAAATCCATAGGCTTTTTAAAATGTGTTCATTTTTCAATATAACATTGTTAACTATTTAAGGGGAGGTCATGATAAAAAGCAACATGCTTGAACCTCAATTATTTTCCAAAAGTCTAATATATCACCTGGGCTATAGAATAATTTACACATAAAGACTGGTTTTACTATGTTTTCTACCTTTATCTTGTATCTACCTACCACTTCAGCATTTTATTAAAAATAATA